GTAACCTAATCACGGAAGACACAATCACTTACTAGAAGCAAGTCAGTAGAGCCAGCCTGCCTCAGTGGAAAGGGATTGCACAGGTGTGACTATCTGAGGTAGATCCCCGGAGGCCATGTCAAAAGCCTCCTACCACATTATGTGACTGTACATAGTAGGCAGGGAGGGACAGACAGGATGTAAGGCCCACAGCTCCAACAGCTCTAGATGGAAGGTGAATACAATAGGTGGGGAACAGAGAGCAAAAGCTTGGGGACTCAGGTTACCACTTCCCATATCACCAGGCAAACTGGCAGAATGATTGTGAAAATGTCTGTAAATTGCATGATAATTCTTTATTATGATTTTCAAATCCCTTCCATGAAATCCTTATAAAAACCCTTAAGTAGGGCTGGGGATTTGGCTTAGCGGTGTAAGTACCTGCCTGGTAAGGTTGTAAGTTCGATCCCCAGAACCAAAAAACAAACAAACAAAAACAACAACAACAACAACAACAACAAAAAACCCTGAAGTAAATGAGATGAGCATCTTACTACATTCATTTTGCAGCATGGAGAATGATTGGAAGGGGGCACTCACATACTCTTGTTGCCACGCACTGTAGGAATTCTTGTAACCCGATAACCACAGTATGATCATGGTTTCCCCAAGCTGCACCTAGCATTGTGCCTTGCTTACATGTGTGTGCCACAGCCTTCAGACCAAGGAGGATGATGTGGTGGCATGAAACATGAGAGGCTTGGTTAGCAGCCAAGGTAATATGAACCTGATCGGGGCTCCTCAGGCCTAGTGACATCCTGTGACCCACACAGGAAGGCATTCTGGGAGTTTCTAGATTATTGCCTGTCTGAGAACCAGGCAGCCAGGAGCCAGACTGTCTGCTTTCACACTCTGTTCCCAGAGCTTTCTCGATGACAGGGAGTCCCTCCTGGGGCCAACATGGAGGCTGAAAAGCACCAGTACAGGGGCTCGCAGAGAACGAAGTCTGCACATGTGCAACTGGTACCAGAAAGGGAAAACACTGTTGTACCTATTTTATTGCTGGGGCAGTTGCGGCTGATGCTTGCCCAGGTGTGGTAATAGAATTTGATCCCATACATTTCTCCCGAAGGCAAGCAGCCTCTTGGACAGCTGCAAACTACTGCAAAAGGTCAGGTCTGACTGCTGTTACTAACACAGCACAGACACCAGGTACTTTTCCTGCCCACGTGTGGAATCAGCACAGCCAGTGGGAGCAGTCCTGCTCCTGAGGAATTCAGGAAGAAATCTTCAAAATGAGGTTTGTAGTCTTCTTGCTGAGATGTGAAGGATCTATCCAGAACGGTTCACCCTGCTAGCCAGCCTCGCAGGAGTGTTACCAGAAAGCTTTACGTTTCCTGTAGCTTGGGGTTGGGGTGGAAGACGATTTCAGTCCTAGGGTTTTGCTCTCTTGGTGCCCTGGCTGCAGGCCTGGACGGGCCCCTGCTGGAAGGAAGTCAGGCCTCCTCCCCCCAGGAGGAAGGGCTCTCCTGTCTGTGGTCGGGCTTTGTGCTCACTGGATTCCAGGCTGTCAGTCTCACACTGAGCTCCCGGGATGCTTAGCCGGCAGATTGTTTTGTTCGTTTTCTTCTGCAATTAATTTGGAAATTACCCAGCTACCCACAGCCTCTCCCAGGTGTTCTGTAAACTATGGGCTTGCTCCTGCAGCATTCCCTTGCCTTGGTGGGACCAAGTTGGGCTGAATCAGTGAAGGGGGTGGGGGGGCAGTGACGGGAGACACTGTTCCGCAAAGGTAGGGATTGTGTTTTAGCAAGAAGCAGTCCCCTTCTGCTCTGGTACTAACCATCCTACCTTGTAGGATCTGAAGCAACCAGATGCACATACTTCATAGATGTTGTCTTTAAGCCTCCCACGCTCAGAGGAGATAAGTCAGAAGCCACCCTGTTCAAAACCCCAAAAGAGAAGACTCCCAGAGCGCCAGTCACTGCTAACATGCAAGTCTCCACTTTCACTTCCAGGGAGGAAAGTTCCTCAGTGTTCTGCTTCATCTTGCTGTGGCCACCTGAAGCCAAAGAAGGGTCCTGGCCTGGGGTCTCGAACAGTAACTCCAACAGTAACAGGGAAAGTTAACATCCCTGATTTCTCCTTCTAAGGAACAAGGTGTAAGACTAGATAACCTGTTGACAATGTATTTATTGATAAGAAACGCAAGGAAGTTCTCAAAGGGAATAAATCAGGAATTAGTTCCCCTCTGCACTAAGGGTCACCTTCTATATTAGTATGCATTTGGCTGGAAGGAACACTCAAGACAAAGCCTTAAATGTGAAGGCCATTTGTTGTTTCTAACAACAGGCACCAGCAGGTAGAACGCGTGGTTCCAGGATTGGTTCTTTCAACGTCCCTTTTTTTTGCCTTTGGACCTCATGCCTTGCCACTGTCCTGTTCTGCTGTCCTCAGCAGGCTGATATGTTCTCTTAGGCTGAACCCTCTGTGTCCCACATGGCTGTCATACTTGCAGGTGTCACACTCAAAAACAACCAAAGATATAAAGGAGTGGTTGCTCTCTATTTGTCTCTTAAAAATAGATGGTTCCAGAAGGCCTCAGCAGACTTCCCTAGACATCTCATCAGCCAGGAAAGTATTCTGTGCCATTCTCAACCTGTCAATGACAAGAGTGATGGAATTATCACATCTGCCCTAAACAAGTCAAGATCTAATAAAATGGTACCCTGAGGGACTTCTAAAACACATGACCAACTGAAATTTGGACAAAATCAGGGTTTTATTAGTAAGGAGGGAAGGAAGATGGCTGGGTAGACAACTACCAGTGTGTGGCGCTTACTTTTTCTGAATACGCCAAAAGGAGGATGCACTCTCATTTTTGTACAGAGTGGCTGGCCATTGTCCCCCTGTCCACCTGGTCACCCACGCTATCCCATCAAAAGTCCTGTGCATGCTCCTCATGAGAGGACACTGGTTTTTATGAGTCCCAGGCAGGGAATCAGGGAAGATCTCACTACACACAAAGTGAAATAGTGGTATGAAATTTTGATAGAAGTAATAGAAAGTGTTATGTAGAAAATAAAATAAAAATTTTTTTGTCTCTTTGAGACAGAGTCTCACTGTGAAGTCCAGGCTGGCCTTGAGCTCACTTTGTAGCCCTGACTAGGCTGAACTTGCAGTGATCCTCCTTCCTTGGCCTCCCTAGTGCTGGGATTACAGCCATATGCCACCACACCCGGTTAGGAAGTAAGATTTTCAAACGCATTCATATTAAATATAATTTTCTCCTAGTGGGAGAAATTCTTCTCAGCACTGTTCTTGCATGTGCTATGTTCTTCTCATACTCCCTGGTCCTTATAATTGGGCTCCCTCCTTGAGAGGGACTGGTCTGGCTTATGTTGGAGCTGGTCACACTGGTCACTGGCAGGACAGATGACAGGAGCAGTGGAGGGAGCAGTAAACTCCATTAGGAGGCTGACACTGTGACTCAGGAAAGGGGAGAAGGGACACCTACTGCCCCTTGTGCATCGGTGGTCTTGGAGGGATGAAATGGAGAGGGAAGTGGTGTCCTGGCTGAAACCTGGAGGTGAAGCAAGGGCAGCTATAAGAGATGGACATGGGGATTGGAAAGGGTCCCAGGTGCCAAAGGTGGGAATTCAGCTGTAAGAGGCTGTGGTTCTCACAGTTTATCTTTTGGATGCTGAGTGCTTCCCTGCTTGCAGAAACCATAAATGGGCTCCTCCACCCACACCCATGAGAAGCTGCTCCAGGTTCCCAGATGGCGAGATAAACTCTCTACCCTGTTCCAGCCTCCCAGTCCCTTCCTCACCCTGGAATACACAGGCCTCTCCTGTGTTTCTGTGTCCAGTTCACCTGAACTTCTGGGCTGAGCTGGAAATGGGAGCCTGAACTTCCCAGCAGAAGGGGTGTGGGGTACGGGGAGCTCCACAGGGAGTGGGCAGTATTCTTCTGGATGCAGGCATCAAGGTCTATTCCACTGCAAATACAGGCTGCCTTTGGCCTCAGCTAGGGAGAGGGGATACTGGAGAGGGCCAGGGGCAGGCTGGAGGGGAGTGATCAAGGGTCAAGTTTATCCCGTAATTTACTGCTGCTTAGGGAGACCAGAATCCAAGGTCTCCAGATACCTCAGCTGGGGCTCAGTAGCTGTCCTGGCTCAACTGGCATCCCTGCTCCAAGACACTTCCAAATGTATTTTTATAGTCACCTAAAGGCGATCTAGAAACAAAAGTTGAGATGCATTCTAAGGCCATGATTCCAAGACTTGGTACACCCCAGGAAGGACCTGATGTGTTCCACCCCAGCTGTGTTCCCTGGCAACTCAGCCCTCTCTCTTCTGAAGCCAGAGACACAAGGTTGCGTTATGGTGCTGGTCAGGATTTTTGGCCAAAAATGGGAGGCTGCTAGAAGATATTTCTAGACCATCTGTAAAACATTTTCCTCTATTTTTTTTCCCCAAAGTTCTGCCTCTTTGCACAGGTCATACGAATCACTGAAAGGCTTGTTGAAATTTGGGTTATGGTCTAGTGGGCCGAAGGTGGGTCCTGAGAGACTATTTCTAGAGAACTTTTAAGCAATGGATATTCATGCTGCTGGGCCTCAGTCTCTATTGCAATACAGACGGGGAGAAAGGCTCCCTTCTTACACCTATCCTCTCCTGGCCCTGGCACAAGTGCTCCCTGAATCCAGAGGATGGAAGGAAGGGTAGCCAGAGAATATAAAGAGGAAAGAGCCTGACTCCTACTTATATAGATATGCGAGACCAAGGCCTGTGGAAGGAACCTGATTCAAAGTATCACAAAAACAAAGCCAGAATTCAGAATTCCGAAGTCTTGTCTGTGCTGTCTGGGCAAACTACGTGTTTTTTTCTTTTTTCTTTTTTTCCCCTTTTTTCCCCCTTCTTTCCCTTTGTGACCGGCTTTGGCTATGTTACCTATGCTGGCCTCTAACTGGTGATCCTCCTTTCTCAGTCTCCTGTTTCCTTTTATTTTAAAACAATGAACACATCCTGTTGTTATAATAAGAAAAATAATTTTAATAAAGGAAACATTTCACAGAGCTCTTAGTACTGAGATTACATTTATGAATGCATTTGGTAAACTGTAACCGCCTTAGGCAGCCTCATATCCTCGGTACGGAGTTCAGGTCAAAGTGTCCAAGAGATATTTCAACGAGGTTGTTTTCTCTTTGGGGGACATAAATCATCGCCCTAGTGGAGGTCACGGCTGCTGCCAACGACACTCGCCCCGCTTCTGGGGTCCGGAAGATTTCGCCAAAGCGCTCAAATCGGGAAGAAGGTTCCCTAATCCGTTTTCGTACTAAACGACCTTAGGCCAAGTCGGCTTTTGTTGCTGGTTTCCCCAGCTTAATTGCAAAGCAACGTTAATTTGAAAGAAAATAAATGGTACAGCTCTGGGGCGAATTCTAACGAGCCTTGGGCAATTAGGGAAGAACGCATGTAATTACCCACACCCCGGGGGCGCCTGCACACGACGCGGGTGCTGGAGAGGAGCAAGCTATCTTTCCGGGTTCATAGAGGGACGAGGAAGAAAAGCTAAAAAGAAACGCACCTCCAGTCTCCCGGACCCCAGATGAGTAGAGCGTTCTGCGGTCAGCCATCCTGGACTCAGACTGACCCGAGGAGCGGCGGTGGGGCGTTCTCCAGATCCCGGGGCCCGGGGCGCAGGGTCGGTCGGCAGCTCCTGCAGGCGCGCTAGCCGGCGGCTCTGTTCCCACCCTTCGCAGGCCTCCCTGTCCTGCCGGTGGCCGCTGCACACTCCCAGGTCCCACCACATCCTCTCTCCTGGCGCCTACCCTAGTTTTGGGCATAATCTCATCCGTCGCTCAAGCCAACAGGGAGAGAGAGTAGGACATAGACGCCCTTTCCCATCCCACCTTTCTTGGGCCTAGGCTTTGTCCTGACGCTCCCAGAGGTTTTCTGAAGAGGCTGCGGTTGTTTTTAAAAGCCTTCCTGGTCACCTATGCCTGTCTGTTTGCAAAGCATTTTTCACTTCTCTTATCTGGGTTAAAGTCAGGAAGACCCTCTGAGGTCACAGCCTCAAATTCCTATTTCGCAGATGAGGACACTGGCAAAGGGACTGGTTTAGGGCGAACGGGGTGACGGGGTGATGGGGTGTCAAAGAACTGGACTTGGTGATTAGGAAACACAAGAGGGGTAATTCCCACATTTACTAGGTGCAAACCTGTTCTCCAGCCCCAGTCTGAGACTGGGGTCTCCCAAGCCAAACGCATAACTCCCGTGTGAAGGTCTGACTCTCAATGTTCCCTGCATCCTGCCCTCCGAGGAGGAACAGAGGCCAGCCAGTCCAGTTGCACTGGCAGAACCCTTGAATTTCATGCCTGGAAGAGTCCCCGGAAGAGGAAAGAGGCCTAACACCGGGACATCCCCAAGGTTTCAGGGATCCATCTGGAATCTCAGCCCACCTCTCTAGCTGCCATCTGCCTTGATGTGGTCATTTACCACCACCAAAGCCAGAAGGACCAGCACTTGGACCTGGACTGTCCTTAGTGGTAGTAATCAGCCAAGGCTGCTGCTGACCATGGCATGTGGCTGGTCCAAAATTAGATGAACTACAATTGTAAAATACACTCCAGAGTTTGATGACACGGGGACACATCTTAACAATTTTTATGTTGATTAGAAACTAAAAAGATATTTTGGAAATACTGGGTTAAGTACATTCTATTAAATTAATCTCACTTGTTTATTAATGTGGCTACTAGAAAATTTTAAATTACATATGTGGCTTACACTGTATTTATATTGGATAGCATGAATTCAGACAAATTCCCATCTGGGCTGAACCAAGTTTATGTCTTTGTAAAAAGGACAGTGCAGCCACCAAAATAAAACATAAAAATAATGGTTTTCATACATTTTTCACAACCCTGCTCTTTCCCACCAAGAAAACTTTGCAAAAAGAGGCTCAGTTTCTCTTGCCAGAACTCACTTGTTCAATTTTTCTTTCCTTTTTAAAGTTTTGTACTAGAGACTGAAATCAGGGCCTTGAGCATGCTAGACAAACACTGTATCCCTGGGCTACACTTCTCATTCCTGCAGTGATAGCAGTGATTTTTATTCACTTCACCTGAATACTCAGGTTTGTCCAAAATCTGTAAGCAGAAATCTGAGAAATATTTAACACTGGAAAATTTCACCCCAGAAATGAAACAGATTTCTCAAGACAGGCCAGATTAGATTTTCTGATTTTGGTGAGCTTGCTGCTTAAACAAGATACAAAATGAAATTAAAAGTCTGGCTTCTCTCTGAAACACACTATGCTGGTCACCAAATTTAATTCTTCTCTTTCCTTTTATGAATGGGGAGGCCATTAAGGTGTAACAGAGTGCACCAGGATGGAAGAGCTAACCCTACTACTGACAGACCTTGCTCACAGGCTCCCTGGAATCCTCTCCTTTTCTTGAATTTGAGTTCACCCACTGGATCCAGGACTGCTTGATGAAAAGAAGTCTTGGACAAAGGATGAATGTATTTCTGTCTGCCTCACCAGAAAACCAGATTTATGATGGGACAGTAGTAGCAATGACCGGCACATCCTGCTCAAAAGTATAATCGCTGCTTGGAGCTAATCCTAGGATTTTAGGTGAGGTGCTTGCCATGATGGTACCAATTCCCTGAACGCGGGTTAGGCTTAGGGTGGCTACTCCGAAGCCTTGGGTGACCCACAAATGCTGCCAAATATACAGGGTGGCTTCCAAGATGATGGGATCCTAAGAATAGTAAGCGGGTAGAATCCTGAATGCCTCTTGCATAGCATTTAGGCTAAAGGTTCTGGTGTTGTGGGTGGGAACTGAGGCACGGTTCAGAGGGTCATGCTGGGCTAGGTAGACTGCCGTTAGGCCTGTGATTCTCAGCTGCCCAGGTCAGCAGGAGTAGATTTCTCTTATAAAATAAGAACAGGGAATTTCTTTCTTTTCTTTCTCCTCTACACTTTAAGAAACCCAGCCTTTCATTGTAGTAACATGGTAAAAGATACATGGGACCGAACCAATTAAAAAGGGCCCGATTTTACGCAGCCAAAGGAAGGGTGACACTACAATTCCCCATCAATCAGATCCAGAATTTTGGCATAGACACATTTCCCCATGCCCTGTGTCACCAAGGACCTTTCCCGGTACAGTGACAGAGGCATGTCTTTGGGGGCTTTGCTGACCTTGGATCTTTTGTGCCAGTCAGAACCGGGTGGCAGTCTCTCATCCTCACACGTATAAGAAAAACCAGGTGTATACGAGGTGCGCCAGGAAGCTCTCAGTTCCCTGTCACATGCCCAACTTTGTCCTCTCTCTAGCTCTGTCCTCAAGGCGGGAGTAAGTTTAGTTCGTGCGGCCAGCCGAGGTATCTATGCGGTTTTGTCCCTGCTCTCTCGGCTCACATAGCAGACACAAACCGATCCACCCCGCCTGGATAGGCGGCAGCGTGGCGGGCATGGTAGGGCCCTCCACTGCCGCCTCCGAGCTGCCCGCCGGGATTGTAGCAGGCCCCCAGCGCTCCGAACTGGCCGGGCGAGGAACGCCCGTAGAAGTCCACGGCTGCCTCGACAGCGCCACTGCCGCCACCCGCGGGGGGCGAGGCGGGTCCGCTGAGGCGGCCGGCCGCGGCGAAGAGCGCGCTGCCCGCGCCCTGAGGGTACGCGCCGTCCGAGCCCGCGTAGGCAGCCGCGTAGGCGGAGGGGTTCGCCGGCCGCGCCCCCGAGCAGCCAGCCGGCTGGTAGCCGGCGGTGTTAGCGGGGGCGCCAGCCGAGGCAAAGGCGCAGGAGCCGCTGGGCCCCGGCGGTGCGGGTCCCAGCTCTGGGCTGAGCGGCCGCTCGGGAACCAGGCCGAAGACGCGGCAAGGGCCAGGCGACGCGGCGGGGTAATAGACGGGCGGCGGCGCGGCGAGCGACGGCGGCGCGTAGCCCGCGTAGACGGCGCCCGGGTAGGGCGCGCGCGCGGCCGACACCGCTCCGGGGAAGATGGCAGCAGCCGCGGCGGCAGCGGCAGCGGCGGCGGCCGCCGCGTCGTGCATGTAGGCCGGGTAGGTGGAGAGGTCCGAGCGCTTGAAGCGCTTTCGGCGGCGCAGGAAGCTGCCGCTCTCGAACATGTCCTCGGCGTTGGGGTCGAGCGCCCAGTAGTTGCCCTTGCCCGGGCGGCCAGCCTCGCGCGGGATCTTGAGGAAGCAGTCGTTGAGCGTGAGGTTGTGACGGATGCTATTCTGCCACTTCTTGGGGTTGTCGCGGTAGAAGGGGAAGCGCTCGGTGATGAACTTGTAGATGCCGCCCAGCGTGAGGCGGCGTTCGGGCGCGTGCGCGATGGCCATGGCGATGAGCGCGATGTAGCTGTAGGGCGGCTTCCCGCGCTGCAGGGGGCGCTTGCGCCGTCGCCCGCCCGCGCCGCGGCCCCCGGTCTCCGCCGGGACCACCGGCCCCGCCGCCGCGGCCTCGCCGCGCTCCTCCTTCACGGCCGCCAGCGCCTCGGGCTGCGGGGGCGGCGGCGGCGGGCCGCTCTCGGCCGTCATGGCTCAGCCGTCCCGCGCGCCCGGCGTCTACGCCGCCCGCCGCCGAGGGTTGTGTGGTGCCGGCTCTGGGCGCTGCAGGCCCACGACGCGCGCTCCGGAGAGACTCCTGTCCGTCGGTGGAGAGCTCTGGAAATCCTCGCAGCGTGGCCCAAGCGCAGTGCTGCCTGGGCCGGGACGCACGGGGCTCGGCACCCACGTTCTGCGGGTTGGCGCGCTGGGGACAGGAGCTCGGTTGTGTCTGCCACCGACGGCCGAGTTTTGGAGGTCGAGGCGGGGCGGCGGCGGCGCTGGGATCCGGACTGGGCTCCCGCTGGCCGAATGGTTGCAGTCGCGCTGGCGCCCGGCGCCCAAGGGCTCCGGGAGGGGTGTCGGGTCGGGGCGGCCGCAGCTGGTCTGGGCGAGCTCTAGACCGAGGACAACCGTCGAGGACGTGCGCAAGAGGAGGCTGCAGGGCCGAGGCTGGTTAGCGCTGGAACGGGGCACTCTGGCAGGGGGTGCTCATGCCGCGCCCCTGCGGCCGAAGCGACGAGCCTAGCCGGGGGCAGAGGCGAGGCCAAGTGGTAAGGTCGCGGTGCGAACCGGGCAGAACGACCAGCGACTGCGCCGCTCCGCAGCGTGGGACTCCAGCTTTGGAAACTGCTGGCCAGGTGCTCCGGCGCGCACACACAGCTGGACCAACTCCTCCCTTCATCGGCATCTCCTTAAAGGCCCAGGAAGCGTGGGGCGGCGCCGGTTCCCTGCCCGCCCCTGACTCGCCGCCCCCACCCTCCGCCCCAGCCTTGGGCGCACCTCCCCAGGTAGGAGCCGCTGTGGCTGCGCAGCGGGAGCTGGGCCGACGTCCGAGCAGGGTGGGCACTTGGAGGTGCTGGAGAGCCCCCTCCTCACGCGCCCACGGGGAAACTGAGGCCAGGGGAATCCAAGGACCGGCTTGGGAGATCTCAAGGGAATTTTGGATTTTTTCTGCCTTTGCCGGAGGCAGGAACACAGGTGAAAGGAAGGGGCCGCCTCTCCTATCCCGCGGGAGAACTGACCCGCGTCGGGGGCACGTGGTTATTGCTGGGTGGAGGATGGGAAGGGAGACGTTCTGAGCAACTGGAAAGACGTTCCCTACGCCTTTCAGAATGATTTTCAAGCCTGGGTCACGGCTTCTCTGCCCTTTTCTCACTCTAGTCCCAACTTTCATCCAGGAGTCTCAAGTTGGAAAGCGATGATTTTCCCCATCCCAGCGCACCGTGACATCCCGCTTAGAGGAGCCTCCAACCCGAATCTCTTTTAGGATTGCGCTTCCCAGCTGTGTGTGAGCGAGCCACTTTCCCTTTAAGGATGCCAGGTTCCTCGAAGTTCTAAGGCGCTGGATCTCGAGTCCTTCCTTCCGTCGACAATGTTCAGGGAAAGCCCTTCCACACTTTCATCAAACTCTCTCAATATAATGAAGAGCGAAGCACGATTTAATGATGATGGGCGCTAGCTCCGACCCACCCTCTTGCTGTCACCCCTGCCTTCAGTTCTCCAACTCCGGCAGGGGTTCAGGTAGCTCAACCCTTTACCACGCCCGCGCCCGAAATGGGCAAACAGCCCCTTCCCAAAGCTGGGACTGACGGCCCGCATGCGGGGTGTCTCCCGCGGGTAGGTGCGTCTCCCAGGGTTGGGGGTGTCTGATTTCAGTGAGGTTTCCTGTTATCCCCAGAGGCCGAACTCGGCGCTAACCCGGATTTCCCGCGGCACTGACCTGGGTTAGTTCTGCGGTCATTCTTGGACCTGTGCCTTACCCCTGGCTAGACTTCTGGAACCGATCTACGGGATCTCCGGCATCTCCGAGGAGATCGCTTCCACCTTTAGGGCCTTGCAGACTGCTCCGGAAGCTCCAGCTAGCACAGCGCTTTCCAGAGGGAGCTGTAGATGCAGATCCGAGTGGAGGGTGCCTCGAGAGCCCCGAGTATCCGAAGTGGAGGGTTCTGGTCTGAAATGGGTGGTACTGCCTTCTGAAGGTTTAGCCCGTTTTTTTTTCAACGAGCTGAGTCCACCCCTGCTGCCATCGGGAAAGAGACGCGAAAAGCGCACATCCTTGCTCTGCTCCGAGAAGGGGTTGTAGCATTTGGGCTTTACATTAGCGGCACAAAACCACCAACTGCCATCTGAAGTGAGGAAAAAGCAAAAATTCATGTTGCCTCCTATTTTATGTTTCCAAAGGAGAATTTTTTTAAAAAAATAATTTTATTTTAACCGAATTATGTCATCGGGAACTTTTAATATAAGTTCTTTGATTCTTTGTATTTCTATGATTCTGAGATTTGGATTTTCAGATTTTAAATGTTGGAGTATTATTGTAACGTGATTCCGTAAATCAAAGGAGGCGATTCTATAAAATTCTTTCACTATCACCATATTCCTGTGGCTTTTAAACTCCTGGGCCAGGTCTGAAAGCCCATTGGTTATACATTAATATGCTAGGACTAGGGTTTTGTTCCTATGATGAACATAGTTTGAAACTATGATGCCAGAGCTGTTTCTCTAGTTTTAGATTTTTTTCAGCTTTAAAGTGTATGTTATTCAATTTGAATTTATTTAGGAAGATTTGAGTCCTATAAATCTACAACACTCTTCCTCAATTCCCGCATGTGAGTACTGGAACTACTACTTTGTAGCTCAAAAATCTTATTCTGGTAATTCTTCTAATATTCGTTGTGGTGTGCTGTAATGATTGGTCCTCTGGCTTTATGACTCTGTGCTTTCGACTTCCAGTGATTATGGACAAAAGGCTACACAGCTCAGAATTTTCAAATCCTCTGAGTCTCCCGTGCGTAGCCTCATCTAGAATTCTGATTTCTCTCTCAACTTTTGTTACTATCCAGCTGTTTCCTCTGCTCCAGACCAAGATTTATCTTCTTGAGATTAAAATTTGCAAGATCATGAGTCTAAGATTTTAATGAACAAAAGACCCTAAGATTCTATCTCATACATTTTTAAATCAAATAATGCATTTAAAAATTCTGTACTTTGATGAGTCTGTGACTGTGCAGTGTAAAGTTTAGATTGAATGATTTGCTGCATGTAAAAATCACAGTTTACCCGTTTGGATCAAAAACCATTCATAGATATCCAATCAGTGTGAGGCTACGATCTGGTTGTCCCCTTACTTTCTTCTCAGTTTCTTGAGAAAGGGCAAAATAGTTAACTCCTTCTCTCTTAATGTGCTGGGGGTCAAACAGTTGAGAGTCATTTGAAAAGTAAGGATGCTGTTCCAGACCTTGGAAATTATTCTCTCAGTCCAGCAGAGTTAGACTCTTATGGCTGTGGCGGGATAAGCTCTTTCCATCTGCTTCCCTCTAGTGGTCCTACACCCCTAGCATAAGCCGACCCTTCACAGGGCTTTTGAATGTGCGGGGTGTGTGTGTGTGTGTGTGTGTGTGTGTGTGTGTGTGTGTGTGTCTGTGTGTTGGAGTTACTGAGGCTCTGTAGAAGATGCTGGAAGCTTTTCTGTAACAACTGCTCTTCTGCTTTGAAGCTAGAGAGCTGGTAAATAAAGAACAGGAGAATCCGAAGGAGTCACAGGAAATTGCTCCATTGCCCTGGCCCAGACGTCTCTGCCTGCAGACACAGAGGTAGCCCACTTTTCTACTTAAGGAGATCTTGGAAGTTAAAGCTGGAAGAGGCTGGGCCCCTCACAGAAAGGACTTGCTTCAAGACTTGCAGAGAGAGCTGGGGGAATAGGTGTGTGTGTGTGTGTGTGTGTAGCTGGGTGGCAGAGCACTTGTCTAGCATTATAGGAAGTCCTAGGATCCAACCCCAGCACTGTAATACATAAGAAAAGAAAAGAAAAACAAACAAAAACAAGGCAAAAATGTCTTGGTGGGGGAGAAGAGGGCTGAAAGGGAAATAGTGCTTCTGGCTCTTAACCCTGGCCCAATGGCATCTTCATTTTTTCCTGAAATCTCAGAGCTTCCCTTTTGCTTAATTCTTCACCTGGGCCGCACTCTGACCCAGCAGCAACAGGAAGCCTGAGTTTGGACGCTTTCAGATCTGGTTGAGAATCTTCATACAGCAGCAGTCCAGGGATCTCAGTGGGTTGCTGGTTTCTGTGGTCCTATAGAGGGCTTCAGAGCAAGACACTGCCACAAAGAACCATGTCACACACATCTTATGGACCACTGTGGACATCTGTGTACAACAGCTCTGCGTTGCTTTGAGAGACCTCAAACTCCAGTGGCTCATAAACTACCCAGCGGCTTTGAGCCATCCTGGGCCCCTCTTAGACTTCAGTTTCCTCTTCTGTAAAGTGGGGAGCCCCTACTTGCCAGCTCTGTTCCAGGGAGTCCCAAGGATGGAGTGGGGTACATTGTTTACTGGCGATCATTTTCTTGGTCTTTTAAATTGATTTCAGGTCGAAACGTCCTCGTGGAAAAAGTTAAACCACTAAGGAAAATTGAGGCACGTCTGTCTTGTGGACCGAGATGAGATACTCTTGTCGAAGAATTAATGGTTGATTAAAGTATTTTTTTTCTGTAGTCTAACTGGAAATTTTGAGCCCTCAACTGGTGTGGACTCTTGTTTCTCTGAGCGGTGCAACCCAATGTGGTTCAGAAAGCAACCGATCTTCAACATGCTTTCTCACCAAGGATTTGCTTAAACATTGCGAGTGGAATTATTGTCGCTGTGGCACCGGACACGGGGGTTGGGGTCCAGAAAGGAACCCCAGCTTCTCGCTGCTGCTGACTTGCTTAGACCCCGCTCGCAGCCTTTCTCCTTGTTTACCCGGCCCTCCCTAACTTCTGTGGCAGTGCAGACTGCTTCCTGAGCGGCCGATGCACGCAGTCCCCAGACTGTGGAGCACGGTGGCCAGCGGGAGCCAGCCTTCTTTGGAACTTGGCTGCGGCGCGGAGAGGGGAAATCGGGCTCCAGGCGACTGACTACGTGACTCAGTTAGCTCCCCACGCTCCCCAGGGCGCTCTTTGTGTCTCCAACCCCAGAGCGAGAAGCTCAAGGCATTAAATGCTTCTGGTCCCATCGGACCGGGTCGCCCGGCGTGAAGGCTCGAGTGTAGGTGGACTTGCTGGGAAAGCTGTGCCGGGGGTAGGGGGCTCGGAGGTGATGGTGAGAATAGGACCCCGAGTGTCCCCTGCCCCAGGCTGGTGGCCAGTCGCGCGAGTCTTGGTGCAGGGTCCACTCTCGGACACGTGGAGCCTCCGCATTTCTACAGCTGGCACCCAGCGTTGTGTGCGGCTCCGGGATGCCAGGAAGCCCAGAATTTACACAGAAGACCGTGGGTGTTCATGTCAAGGCAGAGGTCCTGGTTTGTAAAAGGCCCGAGACCATTCTCTTCCCCTGTAAACAAGGGATTCCCCAAATTGGCTTCTCATTCAACCTCTGAGGTGCCGGAAGAGAAGGTGACGTGAGCCCCCTCCCCAGCCTAATCCTGTTGCCTCCACCTACCCAGCACATTCGTGGCTAGTGCAGCTCACCATGAGCAACCCAGGCGTCTAAGGAGCCACCATCATCATCCTCGGGCTGGTTAGCTGCACAGAGGACCGCAGCCCGGCTGGTCGGCTGCTGGGCACCACCGCAGGCTGCCCAGCTTTCCAAGTGTTTGTTTATTTTCTTTAGTATCTGGAGTCGAACTCATGACCTTGCACTTGCCAGGCAGGCACTGAGCCTCTGAACTATATCCCTGGCCCTGTTTTTGCTTTTTACTGCCTCTTTCTGTCTGGAGTCATGGAAGTGCCTCTCTGTCTCTGAAGCCTTTTAGCCTCTGGCTAGCTGTCCCTCCTCTCTGGACTAATTCCCCACAACAGAATAAAGGTGGGAAGCCAGGCACTGGCTGAACACTCGGCCAGTGAGGCTGCCTAGGAAAGGCTCTTCCACCTTAGGGGAGAGCGCAGAGTGGCGAGATGGGGGACATCCATCCAGGGCTCTGGAGCCCAGTGTCTGGATCCTGCTCTCCTGGATCTCTGTGGGCTCTGCGTAACTGGGCTGGCAAGGGGAGAAGGGTTCCTCAGTACACTTCTGCCACACGTCTGAGGCTTCTGTCTCTGCCTAAGGAGTCCCTCAATATTTCCACCAGATCAAGAGCACTTTCCCAGGCCTGGCATTTGGGGTCCTCCTTCCATAATTTAGGTGCTTGCCACCCCTACCTTCTCTTTTGGTCTTACCTCCCTTAGCATCTGAAGACATCTGGACGTCTGAGGACTTCAGAGAAGTGCACAGATAGTCGGACAGTCATGTCACCAAATAGCTGCCTCACACCATATGTGACAAGAACTAAAATCCAAACAAGATGGAACAGGCCAAAGAGGGAGTGTTTGAGGTGCTCCAAGTGGATCAAGGAGGGATCCCTGAAAGAGGCCTGAGAGGGTTGGAGGGGGAATGCAGACCTTTGCAGACTGAGGATGAGAAAGGTGGCTTTATGCCTCTGGCACCCAGGTCACCAGGACAACGAGACCCTTCTGTGAAAGCCTGTTACTCAGAGTCACTCAATCTTGGTTCAGTGCCTCTCTCAGTGTCTTCCTGGCTGCACAATATTGATCCAGTCATTTTTCCACTCTGGGTCTCAGTTTTTCAGTCTATAAAATGGGAGACTACTGATGTTTGCAAGAGTTGTTGAAGGTTAATAACATTGACTTACGCATACATAACATTTTAGCATAAATATTTGAATCACTATAATTAATATACAGTGTGATAAATATGAATATTTAAAAATTTAAAATCATTACAGTAAAAGTAATTACTATTAATCTTCCCCAAAATACCCCCTCCCTCACTTCAAATGCTTATCCTACGTTTTGTGCCATTTTGAGAAGCACTTCTAATAGTCCTCTTTTATGAGTGTCTTTAGTTGCATTGCCATGGTGGCCTCATTTCAAAACATTTATCTTTCATGGTCATTTAGCTTTTGAGGAAGAACCAGAAGTCTCACGGTGCTGGATCCAGTGAGTAAGGTAGATGAGGATGTGCCGTAATGTTTTTACAGCCTGCCTTCCTGTTGGATGGCTCTTGGTGGCAGCACTATTTTTGATCACACCATGTAAAGATATTTATGAACAGGGAATTCCAGAGCTACTTCAGGAAGTGGGAAGAGTGATCGGTGTATTCAAAGTGAGGAGAGTGTGTTGAGGGATTCAATGGCCATATGTCTTTTACTATGATAAATTATTTTTATTAAAACATATCGTTTGTTTTATTTAAACACATTAGTGATCAGCCCCGGTCATTAGTGTATCAGGCCTGTCATTGAGCATTAGGGATTCATCCAGGGAAACTTCACTAGAGCTGGAAGGTAACTGGAAAAAGGCCACCTGGGTGGGTGGGCAGCTATAAAGGGATCTAGAATCAGGGGCCTTGTCAGAGATAAGTGGACACAAGGAAAGATTCGGTCTCGAAACAGCGTCTTCTACCCTAGGTTTGAACACAGGAGACACTGGAATGATCCTGGATTCTAGAGATAAGAAATTGTGTTAGAGAAGCAGTTCTGGTAACTGGGCTCTGCTGGGCTGGGGTCTGAGGACCTCACACGGGCAGCATCATCTCCTGGTGTCCTGGAAACTTGCAGTGGATCTGCATGCAACCACAGCCTCTTTCTGGGCACATCTGTCCCTGCCTTTTGGCAGAAAGAGAGAGAAAGTTTCAGCACTGGGCTGGGCCCTGGCCTCTGGGTTCAGAGGCATAGTCCTCAGCCCTGAAGTGCTTCTCATATGCTCACTGTGCTCAGCCCACAGGGCAGAGCCCCAGGAAGCCATGGGGATGGATAAGAAAATTGAGTTTGCCCTCCTTTTGTGGATTTGGACATAAACCAGGAGAAAGAGGAGGTGAGGGACTGCTGTTGGGCTCTCTTTAGGCTGGTGTGTGTGGCTCCCTGCCTTCCTTGCCAGGCCAAATTGTCCTGGTTGGTGGGACAGTAACACTGGAACTGCTGGAACCTGGTTCTGGGTCAGTGGAATTGGAAAAGTTGTGGAAATGGAAAGAAGAGAGAGGGAGGAGAGGAAGGATCTCTCTGGAAATGGCTAGGAGATGGGGTGACAAAGTTTGGGAGATGCCATCAGTCAGCTGCCATATAGAGGTCAATGTCCCAGAGGCTGGGCTGTGCCTTAGAACCTTATAACCAAAGTAGGGGCCTAGAAATAAGCTATTGAAGCAATCAAATCAACACCCTTCAGACCCCTCTGCAGGTTTCTGTTACTTCTGGTTTTAGAGTTCTAACCTCACAAAGCCTTTCTGATATATTCCTGTATCTGATTTGTGGCACATTCTCATCTTCTGGGTGTTTGCTGGACAGAGATGATTGACAAAAGCTTTACCCAGTGAGTAAGCAAGGCTGACTCAGGTTAGGCAAGCAGCTCCACCTCTTTGCTGATCCACCTCCTAGTACCCTGCCCTGGAGAGCTGGATTTCTAGATTTGTCATTTATGGTACCAAAACAGCCTAAAGAGATAAACAGAAACAGGACTTTCACCAAGGAAGAAAAGACAGTATCCTTCACATCACACCCTAGCTAGCTCAGCACTTTATTTTATAAGACACAAGTAAGTTGACTGGCTTGTAGCTGACCATACTGAGGCCTTTGTGTCAATAGCTGACAGACCCAAGTCTTTCAGTAATCCCTAGGTTAGGAGGCCGAGCCAAAACCAACAAGAAGACATTTTAAAAACTGTTATGAAAACATGTAACTTCACAAGAGATAAAGCAAGGAAAATATTCCCCACATGCCAATTACCTGTCATTCACCTACTAAGTTTTTCTGTTCTGTATTTTTTCCTCTTTTGTATTCTTACATATGTACAGAAAGTGTATGTTTACATAGGTATAGCCATGATATGTGTACAATTCTGTGGTCTTTATACATGGTGCATTTGCATTATCTTGTAAACATAACCTCATGTTGCTTCTCACTTTTTTTTTTTTACTATAATTGTGAATGAAATCGTCTCGTGTTGATCTAACCCTTTCATTGTAGCTGAGTAATTAGGTAATTTCCAGCATCTTTGATATAAATGGTGTTGCCAGGCATGTGTTTGTATAAAGAGCTTTTTATTTCTTTTGATGTGTCCTTAAGACAAATTTCTAAGTATAAGATTTATGAGGCCACAAACATTTTTATGACTCCTAATAAAGTGCTATCAACTGTCCACAAGCATGTCTTGCAACTCACCATGATCAAGATAGTCAGCATATATATTCTTTAAGTTTCTTCATGCTCCTTTCTATACATGATAGAAAGTAATCAATAACCTACTTTGTTAGTATTGATGAGTTTTACAGAATTTTATACAAATGAAATAATGCACCCTAGTCTATACTGTCTTACGGGGTAACTATTTTGACATTTATCCCTGTTGTGATATCAACAGTCTATTCCTTTTCCTTTTTTTGCTAAATATTCCACTACGTGGTGTATTGTGAATACACCAAAATTTGTTTATTCCTTCACCTGTTGGTGAGCACTGGGTAATTTTCATTTGTGGCTATCATAAACAGAGCTATTATGGGTTTTGTGTATCAGTCTGTGAAGGCTGTTTGTATTTCTTTGGGTAGTAAGAGGGGAATGTTGGGCGATATGGTAGCCTTATGTTTTTATGTGTAAGAAACTGCCAGATTGTTTTCACAAAGTGGCTATGTTTTTCATTTTCACTGGTAGGATACAAAAGTTGCTATTGCTTTATGGCCTTACCAAACACTTGACTGTTTAGCTTTTTTGATTTTACCTATTGTAGTGAGAGTATAGTGTTATCTTATTGTACTTTAATTTGCATTTCCCTCATAAGTAAGAATATATTATCTTTCACTGCATAACACATTACTTCAACATTACTACCATAAAATAACAATCATCATCCCAAAATTTCTGTGGGTTCAGAATCTGGCAGTGGTTTAGTGGGTGACTGGCTCAGAGTCTCTCACGAAACTGCAGCCACGTTGGTGGGCAGCAGTCATCTCAAGGCTGTAAAGGGTGGCAGAGCCCACTGCCAGCTCGCCTATGATAAGTCGTTGGCTGAGCTCCATTTTTTATATGTGCGCTTCTCCAGTGGCTGCCCAAGACCCCACACGGCACAGTGGCTGCTGATCCGCAAAAGCACGCTGGAGAGAACCCAAGACTGAAGCCCAGTTGCGGAAGTTGCATTCCATTACCGTTCTTCATATTCTGTTTGTCACAAACAAGTCTCTAGGTCCAGCCCCTATGCAGAGGCAGGGACATGGATCTGGAAGTGCTAATAATTGGGGCCATTTTTGAAGTTAGGTGCAACGTTGAGCTTTGTTTCCTTCCTTTGTGTTTTTCATCTCCATACCTTTAGCCAAGTGTCTCTGCTAACATCTGCCAACTTTTATTGGATTGCTTTCTTTTCTTACTGAGTTTGCAGAACTGTTTTCTTTTCCTTTGTGTTTTTTTGTTTGCTTCTTTTCTGTGAGAGGGTCTCTCTCTGTAGTCCACTCTTGCCTTGAACTTGCTCCCAGGCTGGGCTTGAACTCAAGATCCTTCTGCCTCAGTCTGCTGAGTGCTGGGATTATAGGCCTGTAGCACCACGCCTGGCTAGAATTCTTTGTGTTCTTGACACTTGCCCTTACAAGACATGTTTTGCAAGTGTTTTTCTCCTAAGAAGTCTGTAGTCTGGCTTTTCACTTTTCTAACAGTGACTTTTGAAGAGTAAATCTTCCAATTTATTGCATTTTTATTTTATAATTAGTGATTTTTGTACCTTATTTTAGAAAGCTTTCACTAACTGGAAGTAACTAAGGTATTCTATGCTGTTTTCTAGAACTTCTAGCACTTACATTTAGGTTAATGTTATTCTTAGAATTGTTTTACATGTATATGGTGTAAGAGTCATAATTAATTTATTTTTTCATTAAGGCTACTCTTTTATCCAAAACAATTTGTTGAAAAAAGTTTCTTTATTGAATTCCTCTGACACTTGTCTTAGGTATTTCGTCTCAGCAACGAGAAAAGTAGCTAACCCTCAAAGTTAAAGGGAGAAAGGTTTATTTAGCTCATAGTTTGTAGAGGGGCCAGTCCATAATCAGCTGGCTCTAAGGCAGGGAAGCACCTGTAATCTCAGCATTCTGAGGTTAAAGGATTATAAATTTGAGCCCAACTTGGAAAAGTTGGTGACTTAGTGAGACCATGTCTCACAATAAAAAGTTTAAGAAGATCTGGGGATGAAGCGTAGCACAAAGGTCCTGGGTTCAGTCTCTAGTAATCCACACCCCTTTTCAGTTGTCTTTTCTGTTCTATCTGTTGACAGGATCTTGCTGTGTCATTCAGGCTGGCCTTGAACTCATGGTGCTCCTCCTTCCTCAGCTTCCTGTGTGCTGGGATTGCAGGCATGCACTACCAGGCCTAGCTAATATTTCCCATTTATAGTGAATGATTTTCTTTAATAAGCCTATATAAGCACATGTGTTATATGTGGCACTGATGAATTTGATTTGTTTTTTAAAATTTTTGTAGGTAGCAAAATGTAACTGCTTTTATTTATTTTCCATTTAAAATTTTTTAACATCAAGTACATTTATTAGTAAAGAAGAAAGTTATGAAATATCTTCATATCATTCCTTTAGAAATTAGAAATAAAAGAATAAAACCAAAAACAAATAGAAACAAATAATAAAGATCAGAAAACACAATCTCTCCTCAAAATACCAACATCACTTTTCATAAAAATTAACATTTTGATTTTTACATTTCTCTAGAAATACAGAAGACTCAGAATAGTCTAAACAATTTGATAAACGAACAAAATTAGAGCTCCAACCCTCTCCAATCCCATGACTTATCACAAAGTTACACCAATCATAACAGAACAACATTGACATCAAGGTAGACAAACCACCAAGGTACCAGTATGAAGCCCCAAAATAGACACCCACATAATAGACAATTGATTTCTGGCAAAGATGCAGAAGCAGTGAACTGGAGAAAGGATTATACCTTCAATAAATATACCAGAATAACTGGATAACCACATGCAACAAACCCAAACCTTATAGCACATTAAAAATTTCTTAAGACATTGAAAAGTCAGCTCAAAATGGCTCACAGTGGATTAGTTAAAGCAAAGGCTGGTGTGACCTGTGTTGCTTTGGAGTGAGGTCGTTCTCTCTGGGACAAAAACACTGGACAAGGTGTGGAAAGGATGACAGAACCTACAGAGGTGTTCAGTGAAGGGAGGCGCTGAATTTGCTTCTAAACAGGCCATGTGGATGGCAAAGGAGGCCATTATGCTTCATCTTTTTTTTTTAAGCTATCTTAACTATTTTTATATACATATACATACACATATACATGTTTTTTCACTTGTCACACTAATGAAACAATTCAATGTTTACATGTGCATGTATTATTTATTTCACTAATAAGTATGTTCTCAAGTTGCATCCACTTACCTACAAAAGTGCCCAGTTTATCATTCTTTATGGATGAGTAGTACTCCATTGTATAGAAATCTATTTTTTTAATCCATTCCTCAGTTGATGGGCATTTAGGTTGTTTCCAAGATCTGGCTATTATAAACTGTGGTGCCATAAACATAGGTGTACATATGTCGCTGTGATATGATGTCTTCAGTTCTTTTGAGAAGATACCCAGAAGGCGAATACCTGTGTTGAATGGGACCTCTAGTACTAGCTTTTTGAGGAATCTGCATGCTGATTTCCTTAGTGGTTGCACCAGTCTGCATTCCCACCAACAGTGGAGAAGGGTTCCTTTTCCCCCACAGCCTCTCCAGTTTTGTTACTGGTTGATTGCGTGATAATAGCCATTCTTCCTGGGGTGAGGTGAAGTCTCAGTGTTATTTTAATTTGCATCTCTCAAATGACCAGTGATGTTGAATATTTTTTTCATGTATTTGCTTGCTGTTTGTTCTTCTCCATTTGAGAAGTATGTGTTCATCTCAGATGGATTGGGTCTTTAAATCTGGGAGAACTGATATTTTTGAGTTCTTCATACTTTGATAGTAATCCTTTATCTGAGGAACAGCTGGCAAACATTTTCTCCCATGTTTTGGGTGGTTGCTTCACTATGTTGATGGTTTCTCTTGCTGTGCAAAAGCTTTTCAGTAGGGTGAGATCCTGTTTGTTGATTCTTTGTGATAGTTCCTGTGCAATCTGGGTTTTATTCGTTAAGTCTTTGCCTACACCAATGTCTTCAAGGGTTTTACCTACTCTCCTTTCCAGCAGATTTAATGTTTCTGCTTTAAAATTTAGATCTTTAATCTATTCTGATTTTAGAGTAATACATGGTGAAAGATATGGGTCCAGTTTTAATTTTTGGCATGTGGAAAGGCCAGTTTTTCCAAAACCATTTATTGGAGGCTATCCTTTATCTGAGGAACAGCTGGCAAACATTGTGTTTGGCATCTTTGTCAAAGATAAGGTAGCTTAATGTATCTGCAGTTGTTTCTGAATCTTCTAACTTACTCCATTGATTTTTAGGTCTGTTTTTTTGTTTTGTTTTGTTTTGTTTTGTTTTTTGCCAGTACCACACTGTTTTTATCACAGTAGCCTTACAGTATAATTTCAGGTCAGGGATTGTGATGCCCCCTCTCTTGTCTTTGTTGCCAGAATTGCCTTTGCTAGTCTAGGTCTCTTCTGGTTCCAGATGAATTTTAGGATTGCTTTCCCTAATTCTGTAAAATATGCTATTGGAATTTTGATTGGGATTGCATTGAATCTGTATAACAGTTTTGCAAGTGCAACCATTTTCACTATATTGCTTCTTTCTACCCTAGAGCACGGGATATCTTTCCGTTTTCTAATATCGTCTTCCATTTCCTTTTTTGGAGAACTTTAGTTTTCAATGTAGAGGTCTTTTACATCTTCATTAGATAGATTCCTAGGTATTTCATTTTTTTGGACAGGTATTGTTTCAAGGTATTGTTTGCCTGATTTCTCTCTCAGTGAGTTTGCTATTCGTGTAAGTGAAGGCTATTGATTTTTGAGTGTTGACTTTGTAACCAGCTACCTTACTGAATTTTCTTATTTCTTATTTCTTATTTCTGGAAGTCTTTTGGTGGAATTTTTGGGGTCTTCTAAGTAGGGTATCATGTCATCTGCAAATAATGATTGTTTAACTTCTGCCTTT